CAATGGGGCAGAGTAGGGCGAGGACTGGCTTGGAAGTTTCAATACCTCCAAAACCAAGCTAGTATGTTTTCTTAATCACCAAGCTGACCCTGGATACTCATCAGTCACAATGAATGATTGCATTCTCAAAGAGACTTTCTGGCATTCAAAACTACTGAACTCAAGTTCACCCCATAACTCAAGAGAAACTCATATATATAATTCCTTGTGAAAGATACTGAAAAATGATTTGTGAAGTACTAGACTCTACCTACCATGCTCAATCTAAACAAGAATCAAATTAGATCTAAAATGGAGTATTGCTGCCATATCTCGGCTGGAGCTGACCATTCCTCGCTTTCCAGCCTTGACAGAGTTCAAAAGCATTTATGAAGCCCTGGGGGTGTGTGATTATTTTCCACCCTACAACCCTGTTCCCACAGATGAAATGTTACTAGTTTTGACTTCAATGTTCCATCTGGACTAATTGTCAACAAAAGCTAGAATAGAAACCATGTTATTCTGCCCGTATTGTGTGAGTGAGTGAGAGAATAGGAGTTTCCAAAAGTGTCTCCATGTACTTGTGGGTGACAAATTATTTTCCACCTTTCGCATAGATAAAATGTTGCAAGCCCCCTCACTGCTCTATCATGAGTTCCATGGAAAGTGCTCAGATGAAATACATTCCTTAGTTCCACCAGCTCTAATTTTCCTGGCTAGGACCCACCATGCTACATGTATTGTAGTGAACCACCCTCATTACCCCCCTATTCCATTGATGAGAAGTAAGTTTCACTCAAACAGCTGCTTTGCATGAATGATTACTCTGTGGAACATATTTGAATCAACTGTACCTCTTAATCTTTAACCCTCTACCTTGAGTGGCTCCAGAGCCTTGTAGAGAGTGAACCTCACTGTGAAAAAGAAAAAAAAAGTGACAGTTTATGTCTTTCTTAAAAGGGTGAAGTGAACACAAACTATTCCAATCAGAATTTTATCCCTGTTCACAAAATCTATTTTCCATTAGGCTACACAGACATCTGATGACAATAAGTAAATCCTTCTACTTAATTTGCTTTTCATGGAAATTTGTAAGCAAATCTTCAATTAATGTCAGTGAAGATTGTCTCTGGAATTATAGATGCTTTTTCAAGTGAATTTTTTAATTGCAAGCAATTCTAATAAAAATAGAGGTATAAGCTGAATTAGGTTCTTAAAATATATGCAACTTTTACAGCAAGTAATGTAAATTATGATAGATACTAAAGGGGAAAAAATACAATCAATTGATATTTATAATTTATATTGTCACTTTCAGGTAACAGCTAATCACCCCTGTTATTTTTAAGTTGTGACAAAAGTGGGCAAGTCACAATTTGTTTAAAATTGCAGGTTTGCTCCAGACAATTGTCTGATTTTTTTTTTTTTTTTTTACAAACTATGACAGTGAGATTGACTTCACAAGAGTGTACAATTTTAATCCCAAAATAAAAAACAGTAATCACCACAATTTACACTTTATGTGGGATTGTTTTACTAGCATATCAACCCTTATGGGTCATATAATGTCGAAAGTCAGATTTTTTCGATAATATTATAGGAAGTTTTAAGTTTTATAATTCATGAAGTATAGTTGAAAACTGGTTGTATAGTTCATTTATAGGTGAAGTTGTCTAGGTTAAAGTTTGGTGTATAACTGTTTTGTTTTCCTCAAGTAGATCAAAATATTTTTTAAATTTATGTTTTTAAAAAGTTCCTTCAGGCTATTCTCCTTATGAAGGCATTTACAGATAAAAGCAAATTCAGAACAGTCCATTATAAAATATTTTACTGTTTATATCTCCTGGCATACTAGGCATTTAAGTGGATCCTTGTACGCTTTAGTAAAGTGATGTAGCAGAATATTTTTAAGATGTTTTGAAATACTAGAATTTTTTTTGCAACACACTGACATGTGTTGAAATCTTCACAGTATTGTTGAAGTTATCACTAACATTTTTTTGTCGGGATTTACAAACTTTACGTTTCATTCAATTTTGCAAACCAATCGATGCAATTTAAATAAGCAGATTTGTTAGGAAAAATAATTTGACAGAAACCCTAATTTGCAGTTTAATAATTTCTTTAATTTAATTTCATAGGACTTTATGGTAAACAATATCTTAAGAAAATTTCTTTTTTTTTTTTTTAATAGTGAAGAATAAACTCTTAGGATTTTTTACTCTTAAGCATGCAACATACAACTGGCCATGCATAAATATTTCTTTCTGGAGCCAAATTACAACTTTTTGAAGTGTTTGGTCTTGTGATTTGTTTATAGTTCTCACAAACACAGTGCAAACTGGAAACTGGATTCTTGTATATATAAAACCTTAAAGATATGCAAAAACCAATATTGCGTTTTTATTAAAATGTATTTATTTCAATCATTAAATTGTTTTTAAAATAGTGGGAGAATTTTGTATCTTAAATAATAAAACTTTTCATTTCTTTCAAAAAATTAATAAAACTTTATTGTACCCTAGTAAAACCAACTGTACTTTGTACCCCTTTACCTGTTTGCACTTCTCAAAATATGGTTTTGGTCAGTCAACATATGGTTATTTTAAACAGTGTGACAGATGGACAGACTAACAGAAGTCACAAAATTTTATATATAGATTCCCTTAAAGAAAGAGCAAACAGCTTGCACAGGGAATAGAGAATGAGTTTACTGAATACAGAAAAGTAGAAGGAGGAGTAAGATAAGGATGTGTTTCTGCATTAAATTTATTTAACTTGTACAGAGAGACAATTCTAATGGAACCAGAAGCCCTGCCAGCATTTACTGTTGGTGGACATGATATTAAGAATGTAAAACATTTACAGATGACACTTAAACCATAAGAAGATAGAATGCATGGTTGTCAGCAAGAAAGATAGCCTAAGGTGTGAGTCACATATTGAAGATATCAAATTCAAGCAGGTAAAAATTGATTTTCTGGTGAGGGTAGTACTTGACAATTGAAAGTCTGACAGAAATCTGTAGGTGTATAAAAATAACAAAAGCCGAGCGGTAAGAGATAGAAAAATGTTTTAGAAACAAAGAAAAGAGTGATGAAATACTAAACTTAAAGGAACAGAGATGTAGTTCTGCCAACAAATGCTAAGAATACCATCAACAGAACATGTGAGTAATGAGGAGGTTCCAGGAAGAATAGCAACTACAAGGAAAAAACTGCTGCTAACAATGAGAAAGACATAGCTTTAATTTCTCAGATATATAGGGAGAAGAGAAGGCTTGGAGAATTTAACACTCACAGGATATAATGAAGGCAAGAGAAGCAGGAGAAAACAGCAAATAATGGTGTATATGAGTAAATGGATGGGAGAACAAGGACAAAGAGGTGGTAAGGGTAGAAAAAGTTACTTAGACTAACTAAAGATAGAAAGCTGTGGAGAGCCATGATTTCTCTTATGTTCTGAAAGGACATAGCATATAAAAAAAATGCACAAAATGATGAGAATGTAAAAAACCTATAATCTAAAGGCTTTTACGTCATGCTAATTCCTACCAATGAACTTATACTTTAACTTAACATATAATTAGTGACATTGAAAAGTTTCATGCACAGTTAGCTAAGCAATCTAAGGAGATTATCAAGCAAGGGATAATCCAACAGATTAAGAATTTTGGCAGATTTAAGCAAATTAAGCCAGTGAACATGTTAATGAAAGTCGTGTACTTAAGAGAAGAAATCTAAAAAAAATTAAATTCAACCTCAACCAAAAGTTGTAATAGCGATAAATGAAACTAAACATTGACAATTTTGCAGGAAAGGTTTTATCACAATAGGACTAGACAAATGTTATCCAATGTGTAGGCTTATACTCAAAGATGATTTTTTTCAAAAGAAAACGAAAATTTGTCTTTCAAATAACCATTGTCTAAGAGATTCTCTTGAAATTATTATCTTTGAAAATTGTACATTTATTAATTTAAAACAAAACATAAATGATCTCACACTTGTGTATTTTTTACATGAATATATAGATTTTTCTTTTTTTATAGTGATGTTCATCTTGTCCTGGGAACTACTCAAGGTAGAGGGTTACAGAGTAAGAGGCACAGTTTATGCAGATATTTGGGGGAAGATAATGGTTAACCTTCATGAAATCAAATTGTTAGGTGTAATGAATGAAGAAAACAGCAGCTATTTGACTAAATTTGGATGATGTCTGCAGATTAGTTTTCATAGTCTAATTGATAAAGTGCTGACCTGGTCATACAGACAGCCAAAGAGAATGTGTGAGTTCAAGTCTCATCAGAAGACTATTCTTTCTGATCCATACTGCTCACTAATAGTTGCAGAATTTTATAACTTGAGCACTGCATTAAAATACATTGAAAAGAAATAAGAAAAAGAGGAACTAGTCAAAAACTTGATTATTACTAGACAATATGGCCAATATCTAGAGATCAGTCATCTGAGTCAGTATTGTTGTAAACTATGGCATGGGTGTACTGAGGTTGGGGGGGGGCACCTAACTGATAGATCTTCCAACCACTACGGGATTAATAGGGAAAAGGAAATAGACAGGAGGTAACAAAATGACAGATGGCACAGCAATCTTCGGAACAAAATGCCCATGGGACTGACTTCACAAGATACAGTCTTGCTAGCTGCCTACTGCTGGCTTTCCTAATGCTTTTATTGACAGGAAACAGCTGACAGAAACCCCAAATTGAGACTAGTTGCAGAGAGGCCCGTATCTCAACATGTGGTTCTGCTGCTAACAGAAAAAACCCAGATGTAACTGGTTTTGACAGACATGTCCACATGCGATCGGGGGGGGGGGGTCTCTTTTGCATCTGTACAGATGTGCGTTCACAAGTATTTAACCGAATGAAAGAGGAACTAATCAAAAAACTTATTAACATTATTACTGGACAATTTCTCAATATCTATAGATCAGTCATCTGAGTTAGTATTTAACAGAATTGAAGAAAAATTGAAAGACTAAATTAGAAATTTACTTACTTTGGGACATTCCAGGCATGTGTTTCAAATTCACTTATGGCACAATCAATACTTTTCCAAGAATATATCTGAAAGATATTTTAAATAGGTTTTTTAAATCTGAAAATGACAATATAAACAAACACTGAAATAGTCTTACACTATGGTATTATTGACACAAATTCACACAGACAATTAGCATTAAATTTACAAATAAAATTTAAGTAAAACAAAAAAAAAAATCAAAGAAATTTAATTTATAAAATGCCTGTATGTTGTTTTATTAAGATTTTCACTGCTGCATTGTTATAGTATTGTTGCCTGGCTGTACTGGCCCTTTTTGGGGGAAAATAGGAAATTTTACTGGAAATAAATGACTATAAAGACATTAATGAGGATTTTTTTGTGGGTGCTGCCATTTTAGTTTTGATCAGATACTTTGTATTACAAAGCTAAGTGACATTCCCAATACACACTATAATAAAAACATATAAAAAGCAGGTCTTATTGCATGCTACTATATATCTATTTTGGTTTGGAAATAGTATTAAAGGCTAGTTAGACTATAACATACACACACACACAAAGGACTGACATTTAACAGCAATTGAAAATGTATATATATGTTAACAACAGATAATAATGTAAGTTTCATAAAGATGTATAAATATGTCCACAGCAGCAGAAATCTTAATAAAGAGCAAAGGCTTTTAATCATTTTGAATTAGCTTAATAATTAATCTATTATTTTTAAGAAACTGTAAAAAATATGAAAATCAAAAGTGAAAAAGAAAAAGTTTGAACAAAGGAAATGCTAATAATCTTTGGACCACTAGAATTCCTGAAAGTATGAACAGTCTTGCCAATTGGAGTTTATGGTTAAGCGTAGAATAAGTCCAAGGTCAATTTTTATCCTCATTCAATCCAGATGCCATGTTAAAAAGATAAATTATTTCATCCGCACTGAGTTTGTGATTCAAATAGATAATTAAGGTACCATGAATGACCAGTCAACACTATTTCCTGCTCATTAATGGCTATGTTTTGTCATCCCAAATCCTGTTCTTTTATTGACCTCTCTTCTCACTAAAATCTTATTCTCTTTCACTCTCAGTAAACCCTTGTATCTTAGTGGTATTATTACCTTGCTTGGGGTGAAATGGTTTTAAAAAAAAAAAAACAAAAAAAAAAAAAACTGCGCAAGTTATTTTTACTTTTTATAACCATAAAGTAAGCAGCTGGGATTTACTGATTTGTTTTTTTTACAGTTTATCAACCCTTTGTGGGTTATTTAAAACTGAAACATGTTAGATTGTAAGAATAATTCATTTTTTTTGTGAGTGAATATTGCATGACCAATTTTTTTTGCAAATAATGATTTTTCCAGTACTACTATTTAACCTATATCTGGGGGGAGAGATGGATTTATACCTTTCTCAAGAGTACTTGCCCATAAGTATACATGACAAGACCAACTGGAATTCAAACTTGGCTCTCCAATTCCTCATTTGGAGTCACTACCCACTACACTATATATGCATATCCACAGCAACCCAAGAATAAAGAATAAAGCAATGTACAAAAAGATTTTAACTTTTATCCTTTGGTGGCCTGTTTGATATAAAAACTACCTTACCAATAAAACCTATCAACAGGCAAAATTCAAATTTAGTCATACAGCTACATTCTTCCTTATCTGGTTTCTTCACATTATATTGTTTGTTTACACTTTGTAATGGTAGATGTCATTTTTTTTTTTAAATCAATTCACCCAAAGCAAAGTGATAATGCCACTAAGATACACAGGGCTACCGAGAATGAAAAAGACTTTAGAAGGAACTGAAAACTCAATGCTAAACAGGAAATAAAGAATAAACCTCGCCTCCTGTCCAAAAGACTGGGGAGGAGTGTGAACCAGGCAATAAGCAAACCTATCTACTCCTATTGAGGAAAAACAAAAAATAATAGAATTTCAGAGTTTTGGAAGAGATGTTAGAAGTATAAAGTTGAAGTAAACTTTAGAAGGAACTGGAAACCCTTTTCTGAATTTCTCAGAAACAGGACACAAGTTCAAATCTTGTTGGAAGCAGCTTCTTTATTTCAAATCTATGCAACTTACAGTCATAGGATGTAAAAAGGACTTTAAGACTGCAAAATTAAGAGGACAGATAATATTGACTGAAATCAATAATAATAATAATGATTCATGTTAGAATTTCAGATGTAATAGTCGCCAGTCAGTCGTCCCCCAATTTTTTTTCTCTGGGCCCCATTTTAGGAATTAAAAATTGCTCAAACCACACCAAATTTTATGTGATAAAGAGTATATTTAAAAATAAAAAACAGAAAGGGTTAAAGGAAGATAACTGTAGATCTGAAGTCAGAACGTTGATAACTCTCTTCTCCAATTTGCAGACCCTAGTTCTATATTCTTAATACTTGATATAATGCAAAAACATGACAATGATAAAATCGGTCAATAATTATTTATAACTATTTATACTGGGACTCATGCACGCAATTACAACTAATCTGTTAACTACGCTAGGTTTGAACTCACCATCCTTGGCTAACAAATTAGACTCTTACTCCTCAGCTTGATGGATGTGTTTTAAGCAGTAGCAGTAGTTTATTTTCCTTACTGCCAAAGTGGATTTAACCATTAGACAGTATTTAAGTTTTTGAAATTTCTCCTCAAGGAACATTTTTCTGTTTGGTGAAGTGCTGATCCTGTTTTAATATAATCCATAATAATAGATTAAATTTTGAAATCATTTATTTTTGGCATATGAATTTTTTGAAACTGTTTCTAAATCATTGATTGTCTTTCAATCATTCTGCCTCACCTGCTATCCTCTTTGGGAACCACTAATCTAAGTGTAAAAAAGCAATTATTGACACTCAAACTAGAATTGGCATGCTGAGTTTAAATTCTGACCAGGTTTTTAACAATAATACCTTTGGAAGCAGCACAAATTCATTTTTTCTCCCTTCACTAAACTATGGTTTAAATAGCAGGGTAGACAGGGCTCTCTAGTCTTGGGTAGCAGCAGGTCGAAGAGAAGGATTCAAAGCTGACATGGAGACAGCAGGAAAAGGACACTCCACTCTCCCAACAAGAGGTCAGCAATTACTTATTGCTGCTGGTACAAGGTAACCCAGTATAACTTGTCACATATTGCTTGGAGAGGAGATGAGCATTGCCGAGTGATTCCTATTGCCTAAAATTCTTAGTTTATTAGCATGACACTGATGATCTCATGGGTCACTGTTTGAACTGGAACACACAACAAAGCAGAGTAATAACAAACTAGTCTCAACTATTATTATTACTGAGTAGCAAGTTCAGGCCTCACTAAGCACCTCAACCTGTGGTCTAATGTTAAAACTTAGCTCAGTTCAATAAATAACCTTGGGCATCTAGCCATGGAATAATAGTCAGCAAGATGATCTAGTAATTATTAATACTGTATAATGAGTTTGATACTTACTGGGTGTCCTACACCAGTGTACTTGTAAGCTTAGTAAATACCTGTTGTGCATCTCACCGTTGAGGAAGAGGTTAGTAGTCTAGTGGGCCATTACAACTGTGTATTGAGTTCAATTCTGATTGACTACTTTACACATGTGACTGTGACAGACTAAGGTAAGCTTAGGAAATACCTGTATTATAAAGTTACTTACTAATAAAGCTGAACCAACACAGACAACTAATTTCAAGCCATCTTTTGACCAGGAACCACAAGTTATTCTGCCACTGAAAAGGGAAAAAATAGTTTGTTTTTTTTAAATGTGGAGGTAAAATTTTAGATGTAAAAAAGCAGAATTTTTAATTCCTGCAAAACATCAAGTTAAAAAAATATATTTGAGAGAATTTTCTCAAACGAAATGATAAATGAAAACTGCCATTATTATTATTATTAAGATTCTCATAGTTTATCTTTCTTCCTTCCATATTGATTGATGAATTATATTTAGGTAATTTTGCAGAAAAGGTTTACATTAATATTGTTAAAGGAATAAAATTCTGCTTATATATTTTTGGTTATATAAATAAAGTTTATTCAGGCAGCAAGAAGTCATCCAAACAAGTTTTTTTTTTTTTAAATCCAACTAACAATGTCTTTCTGTTTAATTTTTTTTTATTGTATTTTTTAGATAAGATGTTGTAGGTATGAATCAAAATTGTTATTTTTAAATCCAACTAACAATGTCTGTCTGTTTAATTTTTATAGTATTTTTCTGATTTTTTGAAAAAGTTGTATGCATGAATCAAAATTGTTGATAAACTTTTGAAAATAAACCAAAAATATAATCAAGATTTTTTATGTAGGTAAGAGTCGATAAATCATAAAAAAAGAGTAGATAAATCATAAAAATATCTTTATAAGATAAATGCTAAGAATTCCTTAAAAATATCTCATAATATCAATTATGATTTCATCTAGGGAAACTTTAATCAAGGTTGGATCAATAAATCCGTAACTTGGTAGGTAGCTACAAGTTATATTTTGAGCTGAAATTCTCACACATTAATTTAATGTAATTTTCATTACTGAGTGCATTAACAAGGAAGGAAATTATGGTAAAAAATAAATATTTGTTGTTTAAGATACATTACTTTCTACCTGATTAATCTGCAATTAATTGATTTGGATTTTGTGTTTGTTTTTTTATGGCTTATCAACCCATTGTCGGTTATTTGAAGCTGAAACATGTTTTGGATAGTAGGAGGTCATTTACAGTACTCGTTGTTCTCAAGCGCCCCACCCCTTTAAGTATTGACTGGAATAAAGTTACAAATTTATTGATGCACTTAGGTATCTTTTGTACTTTGCAGAAAGTACAAATTTTATAGTAATTATATGTCTACATAATAGCATTTTTGTTGAGTAGTAGAACTTTCATTGTTCATTGTCACTGTTCATGTGGATGGTAAAAACAAACCTTTCTAAAGCTGGAATGGCATAGCAGCCTCGAGTCTTGCCATGTCTGTAGAAAAATCGGACTTGGTGTCTGCTAAGAAGACAAAGGACTTCTCGACAAGGATTCCATTGACAACCTGCAACAAAAAATATATATACATATGTTTTTTGTTTTTTTTTGGGGGGGGGGAGGTTTCATCTTGAGGGAAGGATGGTAAAAAATCAGTAGGAAATTAAAAATACAAATGAATGAAGAGAAAAGATAAACATGACAAAAGATAAAATAAACTAGTCTTGCAGGCAGTCTTTACATAAGAAATACAATATAAGCAATGTAGATTCAATAACAAAAAAATATGCATGAAAACTACAAACAACATGAATAAACTAGAATTGCTCCATTGAAAACAGTGCTTCTCAAGAAAAAAAAAAATGCTCATACACAGGCACATGAAGTTAGTTGTCTAATAATAAAAAAAAAACATTTTCTTTTTTACAAAAATATTTAAATATTAAATATTATTATTATTAAATATTTTGTCAATGTCCTTCATCCAATCCTCTACTAATCATATATACAGATAGCAATGTTTAACCTTTTTGCATGCACAAAAAAAAAAAATGGTGTGTCAAAAGGATGATCACTCTTATTGTATACACTTGACTCCCTTGGGATTGTTTGTTTTAAAAAGCTGTTATGGAGTAGTTTCACAGTGGAATCTTGTATTTGTACTAAGTCGGTCTTAAAATAGGTTCGACGTACAAAACGTTAGGAACTTGATATAATAGGTATAACGCAGTAATCTAGTTGTGGTGGCTGATACTTTAATATCCGATTAACAGTCGTCCGGCATCGACCGACTCACCAACTCCTACTTAGTATAGGTGGGAGAGTCTATTAACTATAGAATGGGTGTATTCCACCATAACAAAAGCGATAATTAGAATTTTAATAAAGCCAATCTTCTGCTAATCATATATATATATATATATATATATATATAGATAGATAGAATAGCAAAGGATTTATTAAAATGGATTTATACATTTTCTTTATTCTTGAGAATTGTTAACAAAACTATTGAACACTATTAGACTGAATAAAAAAACAACTTGTTTTCATAGTTAAAGGTAAATAATAAATATAGCATTGTAGTTGCTTTACATAATTTTGATAATTATGATGTTTATTAAATTTTTGAATAAAAATATTTCTTTTGAAATTTATTTCTTTATAAAATAGTAATAATAAATATCACATTTTACACTCTTGTAAATAAACACTGCTAAGGGGGTCAAAACTGTAAACATTAACAGCAATATAAAGGGAATAACCATCCTTTCAAAAAACAATTTTTTCCCAGGTACAAAGATTAAAAATAGCTGATTGAACATTATGCAGTGAAATTTTCATATCAAACAATTACATGTCCAACTATTATTGATTTACATTTATACATTTTATTAATTTTCCAATTTTTAAATTCTTTAAACTGCATTTATCATGATGACATCTATGTATCTTTCTCTCTCTCTCTCTATATATATATATATATATATAATTCTGTAACATTTGTTAGTCTGCATCATAATGATGTGTGTGTGTATATATATATATATATATATATATTATATAAAATTCTGTAACTTTTGTTAGCCTGTCCATCACACCCTCTAAAATAGCCATACATTGACTAATTGGGACCAATTTTTTTTTTGGAGAAGTACAAACAGGTAAGGGGGTACAAAGTACAGTTTGTTTTACTATGGTGCATAGTTTAGTACAAGAAATTTTCATTAATGTTTTTGAAAAATTAAAAATTTTATTATTTAACATACAAAATACTCCCATTATTTTAAAAACAATTTAATGATTAAAATAATAAATACTTATTTAATAAAAATGAAATATTACTTTTAGCATATATCTTTTCTTTAAGTTTTCATATTTCATTGATTGGTTTGTGAAACTGAATGAAACAGAGTTTATAAATCTCAACAAAAATATTAGCAATAACTTCAACAATACTAAATATTGTGAGAATTTCAACACACATCAGTGTGTTGCAAAACAATTCCAGTCCAAGTAAAATTCTCCATTGGGTTAAGTGTCAAATCACTTATTAAATATATTAATGTAAAATAAACTGTAACACCGTGTTTTAATTAACACAAGATTAAATGTACAGATAACATCTGGACTATAGTTTAAGCCTAAATAAATGATTTTATAAAATGATAACTGTATACAACTACTTCATCAGATCAAGGATTAAAAATAACTTCCAGCAAATAACCCAAGTGGATCTTAAAGAGCACCATCCTTCATCAGATCTTATAGACTGGCACTACAGGATCACAAACAAAGAACTTTACCAAATAACAGAAACCACATCAGTTGAGAAATTCCAAAAGAAGCAACAACTAAAATGGATAGCACATGTTACCGGAGAAGAAAATAATGACATAATCAAGATGTTGACATTTCACACTACTTCAAACAAAAGGTTACTGGAAAGAACAATAACAGTTACTAGAGTTGAAAAACCTATTTTACTGAAAAAATGTTTTAAGATTTTATAAATTTCAACTGGCAACAGCACTGGCTGCTCAGTCAATGAATGCCGAATGTTTCCATATTAGGTAACGACTAATCTCATCATTAGTATCTGCAACCATTCATTTCCCACTTTTAAATATTACAATATACTTCAAAAGTTATTTTCAGTGGATACCCCTGTTTGAATAGAAGTCCCAATTTTTAAATATTGTGTATCATACTGACCAGCCCACACACTAAAAAAAAAAAAAAAAGAGTAATAAAAATGTTGCATCAAACATAAATCCATTAATTCTTTAAAAATTACCTTGTTTACATTTCAGATACAAAATCAACCTGATTAGAAAATCTGAAATGGGGGATGAGCATTCTTTAAAAGGGTAAATAGAATCACACTGGGATGTAACGCTCTCTGTGGCTGAGTAATCTAAAGCATGCTGGATCCGATGGTGAATTCTCCTACAAAGGGGGATGTACGCTTCAGCTCAGCACATTTTCTTTAAGTTTTATCAAGTGCACAGGCTGGCAGATGTAATACACAGTTTAAAATAAAAAAAAAACAGGATGAATATCCAGACATGGGTATCCACTAAAAATAATATTTGAAGTAATAAACATGTCAGATTAGTTCATTAATTCTTTAGATATTACGATATAAAAAAAAAGCTACAAAGAGTGTAAATATAATTTTTTTTTAAATAATGAAGCGTGCATTGAAGATGCGACTTATTTCTATTAATCGTAATGTATATGTATAATTGTTATGTGAATTATTAAAATGTCAAGTCAGAAGCAAAGTAGTCAGAAAAAAATATATCAAGCAGATTAAAGAAATTTAAACTTTATTTTCTTACATAATAATATAACACTACATGAAGTTATATAATTTATTAAATAATTTTCTTTCATTCATAAAAATGAACAAGGTAACTTGGTATTATCCAGGTGAACATAATTTTAAAAAAACATTATTTGTTATTTTATCTCATCATATTTGATATATTACATGCTTGGGATAGACAAAACATAAATAAATAAATAAAAAATACAAGTTTAATGAAATAAAAAGAAAATAAAAAGAACTTAAGCAGGAAGAATTCTTTTTGTCTTTTTATTTTAAAATTTTTCATTTATTTTCCAGTGGTATGATCTTTGATTTATTCAAGTGCATTAACAACAAATTTTCAATTGTTTAAAACATTTTATTTAAAATTTTTTTTTTTTTAATCATTTCACTCCAATCAAAGCGATAATGGTACTAAGACACAAGGGGTTACTGGAAGTGAAAGAGAATGAAAAGTTTTTAGTGAGGATAAAGAACAATAAAAAAAACAGGAATCAAGAAGATAGTGATTGGCATTGTATTTAAATTTTTGAAGATTGTAAGTCACAGCAAAGTAAGAAACTGTAACAGATTTCCAGATGGGAGAAAAGAAATTATTAAAATACAGGGAGCGATGGGTAAATTGTTGCCATTTTATATTTTTAATTTCATGCATGCAAGTTGTTTGTTTTTGATTTTGTCAACTAAACAGTATAGTAGGGCCAGTTGGGTACTGTCTGTGAGAAAAAAAGCACCATGACACAATTCACTCTGCCAGAAATTTGGAAATGGCATACTTTACTGCTTGGCATTCATGCCAGAAGCTCCAATACAAACATTTCAGAAAGTTTGGGTTTCAGTCTAAGAACAGTGCCAGGGATTCAGAAAGAGTTGGATGAGTTTAATAATGATTATGAAAGTATGGCAGCTCAGAAAACTGATCGTTCTGATAAGAAAAGAATTCCCAAATTAGTTGGTGAGGGCCTCAGACTCAACATAGAAGCCTACATCAAGTGCTTCGAGGAGGTAATGCTGCCCTGGGTCAAGAGGGTGGCTGCTGGAAAACCATATATCTGGCAACAGGACTCTGTGCTATGCCACACAAGCAGGAGAACCCAGTTATGGCTGTCAAACAATTTTTCTGTGACCACATCACCCCTTACATCTGACCACCTAACTCCCCAAACTGCAAGCCTCTTGATTATTATATGTGGGGCGCAGTTGAGTAAAAGAACAACAAAACTCCTTGTAAAACCTGATATGAACTGAAAGCAAGGATTATGGCAACATTCACCAACTTAAGCAAGGAGACTGTCAGAAGATTGCAAAGTCGTCTGGAGGCTGTGGTTGAAGCCAATGGTGATTTTATTTAATAAATTTACTCTTTAGTATTTCAAGATATTTTTGTGTAATTTTCATATGTATATCTGTTAAAATGAAATGTCTGTTATTTTCATTTATGTGTAATTTAGATGACAATTTATCCATCGCACCTTATAGTACTTATGGTTACATCAAGATAGTTCAACAATAAAATAGTAAGACTAAGTAACCAATCTAGTAGTATGCTTAAAAATTCTAACAAAAAAAAAAAATTGAAAAAAAAAATGAAGTTCCTCCAAGTTTACATGTAAGATTTAAGAAAATGTAATTTTGTGGGGTCTTTGTGTTGTTCTAAACTGAGCGGATCAAAATTAATAGGGTTTTAATAAAAACATAACACTGTTGAAATATTAACCAGCAATACATTTTAT